CAAGAATATATATACATTGTGGGGTCTGCCACGCCTCCTTCTGCCTGTTACATACTTTTAACAAAACCATTATACCCTGATTTCCCATTTTCAATGGGTTCAGGGTATAAAAATAATTATCGAAATATGCGAATGCTTTAAGTTGGCTAATGTCTTTAAGTTGGCTAATTGTTGTGCTTTAACTAATATGCATATGCATATAAAAATTATTTATAGCAATTATCAAATCTATTTATAAACATCGAAAACAATTTTTATTTGACGTAATTCCCTGGAAGCTCCCAAAATTAGCTAAAAAGTGCTGCTAGAGTTTTTAGCCAATTAAGGCCAGATGATTAGATGACTTGGCTGCTTCTATGTTTGCCGCGTCCATCTCTATTACTCATAGTTATATCAGCGATTTACCATGTAACTTGGAAGCTGGTTTTCTTAAACGTAAAATAGAACTATATGATGTCGTCTTGAAATACAAACATTAAAATAAGCAATATAAGAAAGAAGACCAAGATATATTCTACCGAATGAAAAGCTACATCAAGTGTGCATATCTTTATTATTCCATTATACACTGAACCCATTAAAAGTGGGATATCAGGGTATAATGATAAACTATATATATTCTAGGACAGGGCGACGAGCTAAGTTTATTTAATCCTGTCTATCTGTTCGTATGTTTCATTTTGTTGTCGATTAAAAACATTATCGAGAATCAGTAATAAATGTATATCTCCCACATCTTTACAGCTAGGGTCGTTTACTTTTTGTGTTGATTTTTATATTTATAGAATTCAGATTTTTGTTGAAATTTACCTCAACCCCTATAGACGTTGTAATAATATAATACGCTCAAAATGAAACATTGTTGGCAATATTTGTCGGCTTACTTATGCCAACTGAAAATATATATTGTATGTACATTTAATTTTAAAAACAAAAATTAGCTAATTAAGCATAACGTTTACTATAAGCACAAATCCAAGAAATGTCAACGCATATGACATTTTATTGCTCATAGGATCGTCTGGGCACTGACAAGTTGGGCAGCACAGACTGTCCGATGCTCGTTCACTGACCAAGACTAAACTAATTTGTCACAGATCCAAAAGAATCAAATGGAATGGATAGATCATTTTTTGTCTACTTTTCATGGGGTAAATTATCTATTCAGCTTGTAAAGCTGCAGCAAATGAACTTTGAGGGATACAATTTTAATCTATTTACTCGTCGTGGTCATATAAGAGAATATTAATTATAAACTGCCAGATATAGATAAAGGTAGATAGATACGGATAAACACAGATACGGATATTACACAAAGTCAATATACTCTAACACTGAGTGTGATTATAAAATAAAATAATAATGTAAAATGAAATAATAATAAATAATAATATACTCTCTAAGGCGTCTGCTACCTGAATGTGTACGATTAGCTAGCATTACACATAAATAATGCAATTTGTGGTAAGTGCGGTCTAATAATAGATTCAACTTAAGTTGCAATTTGCTTAGTGTTATATATTTTGATTATTATTGTTGGGTTCATTTGAAATGCTTCATAAATTAGCGCTTCAAACTTGAACTTGACAATGACGTAATGCAGCAATCAAGTTGCAATAAACAATGAAAAGAACGACATAACAATAAAAACTCAGCCACCAAAAACTGAATAAAATTCTGTCGGAACAACTGGCTAAAATAAAACAACAACAACAACAACAACGACAAAATAGAATGAAATACAAACGAATTCAAAAACTAATTTCAAATTCAAATTCATAGCCAACGCTGTGGAAAATTGTCGGAAGCCGAAGCCGAACGAAAAATTCACAATTTCGATTGCTGTTAGTGGTGCGACTCGTAATGAACTTCATGAATATGAAGCCCTGTGATTTATTTGCCATTGCGCTTATCTGCTGCAAGTTGCCAGTTGCAAGTTGCAAGATGCAATTTATAAGCTGCCTTTTTTATGGAGCATGAGCTACATAAAAAGGGACCAACTGGCTGCCAACTTCTTTCAGAGTCATCAATAAAAGTCGAAGATTATAAAAACAGGACACGAGCTGTGACTACTGGGGCTACTATATATATACATCTGCATAAATATATATCTACACTAAATATCAAAGTTCCAGCAAGCTGCGGTCGTTGTTGTTCTTCTTGTTGCACGTTGCACGTTGCACGTTTTAGTTGTTGTTTTTGCAGATTGTCTAGTCAGAATGACGCCAACAGATTTGCCGTAATTTTAAGTGTAAACTGCCAACTGGCAAATGGAAAAGGAAAAAGGCAAAACCTGTGCCCCATCGTTCCGAGTCATTTGTCGTCATGGGAAGTGCGCACAATGCATAAAAAAGAAAAAACAACGCACAGAGCGACCTTGAACCGAAGCTCGAATACAAAACATATTCAGCAACAAATCGCCTAAAGTCGTTTAACCGATTTCTACAGTGACTATTTTTAGGATGTAATCGGATTTAAGTCTTTATGTTTATCTTATGCATATTCCTTTATAGCTTTATAAGCAACAGTCAACAAAAGTCATTGAAGCCTTTAAAGTTGAACTCTCTCTCGCTCTCACTCTGCCTCTCTTTCTCTCGCTCTGTTAATGTTCACTATCTGCTACAGCGATCTTCATACGCATTTCTGCGGGCTCTAACCATTTGGGAAATTTAAGCGAAAACTTGCGAATCTCTTTGTGAATCACTCGTTCGGTTTACAAGCCAGGCCTCCCCATCTCTCATTCTCGAACATCCTCACGCACTTTGGGCCACTGAAGCGCCGTCTGAGCAGCGAACACTGACCACTGGACAGCGGACAGTGGTTTCGCCTGTGGAGCAGGCAACCAGTTGTGTCCAGAAACCAGTTCGCGATTCACAGCTAGCTAGTGGCAGTTCTTCTGTGGCAACATTCGTTCAACTCACCTGAAATATCATATATCCCGAGTCGTACATCCAAAAGTCCTCGGGCGTGTGGCCCGGCTTGCTCAGCTGGATGGCCAGGCAGCGCTGCAGTATGAGGCGACAGCGCTGCGGACCACCGGGCGACTTGGTGCCCATTGCGTTGCGATTGCGATTTTTTGTCTAAAAATAACACGAGACGCGCCGAAACGCCGGAGACTGGAGGCCAGAGACCGGAGAGTGAAGTTCAAGATGAAGCTTATTCGTGGGACGGTTAAATTCGCTTCTTGTTGCCGTTATTGTAGTTGTTGTTGTTGTTGTTTGATTTTTAATTCTTGTTGTTTTCTTTTCGTATTCAACTTTTCTTATTTTGTGCGTTCCAAGCTTCACTTTTAATGGTCAACGAAAAACAAAAGAAAAGAACTTAGGGAAGAAGCAAGAATGAAACTCGTATTAAACTGTCGGGCGATTGGTTGTTTGGTTACTTTTGTTGTTGTTGTTGTTACATTTTTGTTTTCGCACACTTTTGTTTTCGACTTTGTTGCTCTTTGCTTTATGGCTTTTACTGTGACTCGCATGAACCTTTGTGCTGAAGCGACGACACAACAAATAAACGCAACGACGAGGCGCACGCGCACCAACTAACGAAAGCAACGAACGCAAAGGCAAACGAGACGCAGCTGAGAAACGACGAGCACAGCGCGAGAGGGAACCGTTCGTACCCAGCGACAGAAACCAACTGAGCGCCAATTGCTCTGCTGCTGCTGGTGCTGCTGCTGCCTCTGCTGTTGCTGCTGCTGCTGTTGCTGTTACTTCTCACGATGGCTGTTGCCTCTGCTGCGGCTGCTGTTGTTGCTGCTGTTGCTGCTGTTGCTGCTGTTGTCGCACAACACGAGCGCCAACGAACTGACAGCGACGCGAGCTGCTTCGGCTGCGCAAGTGGCGTTTGCATTGGCGGTTCGCTTGTTTTTTCGCACACATTTGGAGAGTCTCGACTTTGAAGTTTTGCCTGCCCGATTGGAGACTTTTTGCTGCTTGCTGAAATGACAACCACAATCAAAACGAGAAGCGGCATTAAAACCTTGATTATAAAATCAATTAGGCGAACTAAAAATTATATATGTATGTATATTTCTATGAAAGAGTATTACAAATAATCACAAGTGCGACGTCTTGGCATCCACAATTGCTCCTAATATTATTGTTATTAGCATCATCATCATTAGCAATAAACCTTAACGGTACGCCACAAAATTTTGGCAACTGTTTTGCCATAAAAGATTTCTGAACTCTCCCAGCAACGGTTGCTGCCCATTTCCTGTCGAGATTATACCGGATATACTAATGACTACAAATGGATTAATGAAAAGCAAAACCTGAAACATGGATTTCAGCTGTTTTTAGGGCATACAGTACATGATATACATATGTACATACAATATAAATGTTATAATGTTTAGAAGAATATTATAATGATCTTACAGATATAAAGAAATTCAATTTGCATGCTAGGAAATGCCAGACGCAGATTGCCTTTAATTGCGCATACGCCATGTACGACGAATGTCAATCAGCGATTGCCTTTTTCCTTAATTTATGTAAAAGCTGTCATAGACGAACGAAACACAATCCAAAATGGCACAGAAAAACAGTGCGTCAGCATTAGAAATTTACATAGACAATTATCAGATCTCGAGCTCGGGAGATTTTACACGATTATTCGATTCGTGTCGCGCTGCCAGCAGTTGGTTTATCTCTGGCATTTGTCGCACATTCATCTTCCGAATTCGGTCAATGCGCGCGCCAGGGACATAAAACGACACGCAGCGGAAAAGAGAAGCGAAATAACAAAGCGAAGAGAAAGAGAAGAGTGCTACGAATGTAAACGGAGCTGGCAGAGACAGAGTGAGAGAGAGTAATGCCCTCGCACTCTCCACACTCTACTCTGGCTGTGCAGTTGTAATGGGCAAAGTCAAAGTCGCCAGCCAATTAAATGCTGATGATCTCATCGCCCACGTTTCGATTCTGAGCGCGCTGGCATTTTGGCCAGATCAAGTGTCGTAGTTGTGCGGTGTGAGTCGATGTTGGCCAAAGCCGATCTGTACCCCGACCCTTTACGCATTTTCCTTTTACTATTTATTTATTATACTTTTATTTGTCGACCCATTAAGAGGCGGCTTTTGTTAGAAAACACGTTTCTCCAAAGACACCCAGCCAATCCAAACTGAACCAAGCTAACCCAGCTAACAGCCAAACCGCCAAGCAACCAGCCACATTCCATGAGAAAGAGAATTCGCCAGCTGTGCCGAGCGGTCTGTGAATATTTTGGCTTTCTGGCTTTTGTTTATCTGTTTCTGTTTGTCTTACACATCACAAACGTTATAAATGGGGGAAACCAGACGAAAAAAGGTGCTAAAAAATCTACATCGATTATTACTATCAATAATAAGCTGTCCAACACTGCGATTTGCATATATACTGTATATCTATGAGATATGCTTGTGTGTAAGTAAACATTTATTTGTTGTCCGTCGACTTGGATTTCCAGTGCCCCGGGCTTGACTTATGCTCAGGTCGCTGAGTCAGTAATTAAATTTGCACATGACTTCGAGTTGCGCTTGAATTTGAATACGGATTCGAGGTTTGAGAGTTTTCAACTTCAGCAATTGAGAAAATCAAGCGAACAATGTCCTTTACTGACCTTCGAGGTGCTAAAAATAAATGCCTACTAAATTTTTGAGATGATGGCACTATGAGTTAGCAGTTCAAGTTCTGTCCGAACCATGAGATCATTCAAATATATTATGCAGTAGCCAACTCCACTTTATGGCCTTGCTAATTTGCCCAAGCCGATAGAAAACTTTCTAATGAATTAGTACTTTTGATTGCCATTGTATCGAAACAATCTGTCCCTGATCTTTTATTCATTGACATCCAAATTAGATCTGCATGGTCTATTTCTGTTCACGCTCTTTTATTGTTAACAAAATATATAAGAAAATAAAAAATATGTATAATAAAAGTAAAGAAATCAAAATATGAATAGCCATTCTCATTATAATAAATATACAAATTCAGCACAAAGACCAACAGCTGGGTTTTCTCTATAATTGTCTGGGCGATCGGTCAAGAATGAGTGTTGTCTCTACTGAGATGCCACCCCCTCTGCCCACTGCTGGTGGTGTAACATTGACAGCTTACTTTCAATTGCGACATCTAGTTAGCGCAGAAATTTAAGAGGCAAATAAAACGACACGATCGACTGGATCGGCTGCATGAATGAATCGCTTAATGAAGCGGCGCTGGCAATTGTAGACAGGCCGTCAAGTCTGGACCAGGACTGAGGCTGGCTCTGGCTTTGGCTCTGGCTATGGCACTGGCTTTGAAACTCTGCTGTGGTCTGGTTGTGGTCAGTCGTCTGCCATTATCCACCCGCAAAACGTCAAAAGTTTTCGCCACCCGTCGCCACCGACGCCATCGCAGCGCTCTGTGGCGGAGTAGCTACATAATTCAGTTTTACGGTTCAGCAGCGATTGGCGCAGGCGTCCGATTTTATTTTCGCCGTTTTTTCGTTGCCCCACGATCCAGCTGAGCCTCGTTGCTGCATGCTAGCCAATTGTTGCAATGTGGCAAAGCAATCGATTTAAGCGCCGCCGCATAAATTGAAGGCAACGTAGCTGCCACAGCGTTGCTGCTGCTGTTGCTGCCAAAAGGTTCCTCCAATCTACAACAACATGATGAATTGTTTTCATTGTTGACTTGTTGACTGCCAACTGCAGTCAGTTGGAGCTGGAGCTGCTTGTTGCTGTTGCAGTTGCTGTTGCTGCCGCTGGTGATGTGAATGATGAAGTAGGAAAAAATTGCAAATTGTATCAAAAATTTAAATTTTCGCTTTCATTATGCGGCGGTGGCGTCGCTGACTGCATCCATTCCGTTCCCCTGCTGCCACTCAACGGCGGCATTTGCTAATGGACGAAGTTGCTGTTGCCTTTGTTGCTTTGCTGACTGTTGACTGTTCGCTGCCTGCTGCCTGCTGCCTGCCATTGTTTTGGTTTATTTCTTTAGCGTTTCCCTATTTTCAATTTTGACAGCCGCGTTTTTCACAAATAATGAGCTGCCTTTGTTCGCCCCCGAAAAAATAAAGTATAGAGCGAAAGAAAAGCTAAAGCGCTTAAATAATTTATTGGCATTGACCACAGGCTGCTACGCAGTGGCCGTTGATTCTGTGGCACGGCGCGTATACGCAATGTGCAGCACCTATTACTCTACTAGCCAGAGCTGCAACAAACGGCGGCGATTGCAACTGCAACTACTTGCAACTGGCATTCACTTTCAACTAATTACGCGCATAAATTAAATGCAAAACATGCTTCATTACAAATATCTGCAGCAAAAGTAAAATGAGGAACACAATCGCAGCTGGAGAAAGACAAAGCGACAGCCAGAGAAAATGAGACTTTGCAGATGCTAGAGCCAGAGCCAAAGCCAGCGCAAGCGCCAGAGACATCAGGAATGTCAAAGATGTTTGGCGAAGCCAAGAAATGACATGCCATGCTCATGCTTAGACCCCATGCTCCCATGGACACCCGGACTCCCGTACGCCCGTGTAGCCGCAGCCGTATTGCATTGCTCCTGCAGCAGCTCCGCCAAGCGTGTGGCAGCCACAGCCGAGACGACGACGGCGTCTGCAAAGCGGAGACATTGCGGCAGACGTTGCAATAACAATCACAACAACAACGGCAGCAACAACAAATCACAAACTTTAAAAATGCATCTCAGCTCGAGTGCAAATGCTCTTTCGGATTAGTTAGTTAATACTACTCTAATTAATATGAATGTGATGTAAATTACATGTGCCATCCTTACAGCAACTAGAGATGCGAAGTTATCAATAATTAATTATTTATTTTCAATAATTAATTATTTATTTATTATGATTATTTAGCTATAACAGTTTCAGTTTCTTATTCGATTCCTGCTGATATTCTGAAAGGACTAAATTATCTACATAAAGTACATTATATATAAATATTTAGACACATGTTTGTCAAGTCATCCATTTCACTTAAACTGATTTTTTTTGTTTTTTTTTTTTTAATTTGTGAACGTTGATGAATCCACAGCGAAGCACTCAACATACATATATAAAGAAACAATTTGTTCCTGTTTTTCAACATTCTTGGATTACGAGCTTCAATAATCTATTAAATTATATATACATAGATTTAGCAATTCCAAGGCTGGCGCATACAAAAATATTTATCTCTATTGCCTGCATTTTCCAGAGTAAATAATAATTGGATCGCAGCTAAAATTAAAATATATATGTATGTATAGAGACAGCTTCGCAGTCTTTTATCCAGAAGCAATCAACTTTATGTGATATATAAAAACAAACTGCATGACAGCTGCGTAATCCCCGACCGCATTGTGAGGGCATATAAACATATGACAGCGACATCAACAATAGCAACAACCATAGCAATAAACGCAGCTACCGCAGGAGCTGTGACAAAGCCGTTGATAACAACAACGAACAACAAATGATTATACATATATATGTGTATATACACAGATATTTATATATATATTTGTATATGTGTATGTGAGTGTATTTGTATTTGCTGTGCAATTTTTAGTGGCGTCTTCAATTTCAGCATTCTTTTTCACGTCTGCATATTTGACGTCGTTGTTGTTGTTGTTGCATTAGCAGCTGCTGTTTTTGTTGCTGTTGCAGTCAGAGATTGGTGATGTGCACAGTGCTAGCAATCTTAGCATCGAACGTTTTGGTTTATTGTTCAAAACGCGACTCACGTGTCGTATGCGTAATCTGTTCCAATGAATTGCTTGGCGCATAGTTATCTTCTCCTTTTTTGCTTTTTGTCACTGTCCGACAATTTCGGGAAGTTGTTATCAAACATTGTGTGTCGGTTCAATTGTTGCTGCTGCTAATACAATGTGATTGTGCGGTTTTTCATTTGTCGTCCTCTAGCCAATGAGCGAATTCATCTGGGTCGCCTATTGCGAGTGCCTCCCTC